GCATGGGGGGAGCATCTTGGGAAGCTTTGCAATTTTTGAATCAGATCAGAATGTTTAGCCTTTCCAGCTAAATTAAACTCTGAAACTTTGCATCCAAAGTGTATGACCATCTGTTTTAGCACACTCGCATTCCCAAGCAGAAAACTTACCAATGGAAGATCATCTGGTTCATTCTGATAGGATCTAAAGCCAGTAATCTCAATGGTCTCTAGATGTTCAAGCAAGCAACTGAAAGTTCTTTTCACTCTTTTCACGCTTTCCAGATAGTTTTCTGGAAAAACCTCGTCAGGTGATCTCTGAATTTGAAGATTCATTAAACACTTAGTTAGCAGAAAACAATGTGTTCAATTACACACATAACACAAAGGAAGTTCAAGTTCAATGACTTCAATTGCTTGATGAAAAGTTTAAAGTTATTGACTTTCCATCCATTTTTTTTGTGAATACCATAAGTACTTGACCCAATTGATTATCTACGCAAAGAAAACAAACGAATAACTTGAAAGTTGTAAAGTCACCCCAGAAAGTCATACCTCAACCTCAGAAATAATTGTCATGTCTATGACTAGTTTCTGTAAAGTTGCAAAGCAGTGAAGCAAGTGTGCCAACCCAAAGGGATACCATTCGTTAAGATTTGTATTCAGAGTTAAGCATTCACAACTGCTGCCAGACAATGGAGAGGGCAATCCCCTGAACTCTAATAAAGACAGAACCTTGGCAAATAAGAGAACAAAACAACCATAAGCCCAGTATGTTCCAATATAAAAATAAAAATAAAAATAAAAACAACCAGTTAACATTCATAACAAAAAATAATAATGAATAAATAAAACAAATATATTGACAGTCAACATTCATCTCAGACTAGTACCAATAAAAGGGCTTACTTGAACGCAATAAGAGCCAAGAGTAATTTTCTTGACGTGCTTGATTTTCTCAAGCAGCTCCTTTGGGATGTCAATGTAATCAAACTGAGAAACCTCAAGTTCGAATGTAAGGCAGGCATTGATTAAGGAGGATACATCCAACAACCTGCATATCTTTTGGAACCAGCACCCCGAAATTTCCACTGATTTCAGATTAGGACAGGAAATTTCTATCACATTATTGTCTTCCTCATCCTCATCATTCCGCATTTCTTTCAACACCAATTTTGCTAAGCTACTATTTGAGCTAGCACCAATACGAGTTATATGCTCGCATCTACGCACTTCCAAGTATTCAAGCACAGAACTTGAACTGATATAAATACCAGTTATAACCCAGCAGTCATGCAATTTCAAGTATTTAAGCATAGGACTACCAGCTAAAATCTTTTGAAGCACATCATTGGACAAATCAGCATGTTCTATAGTCAAAACCTTAAGCGATGTCCAACATATTTGTCCATTGGGTGCATAATAACATTTACTCGTACTTAATTTTGTCAGTGAAGAACTGTTGAAGACAAATTGCGGGATGCGATATTGATAATCATGGTAGCAATAGTCATTACTTCTGCAGAATTTCAAAGAAAGCTCCTCTACAAAACGTCTGATAACGAAATCGAGCCACTTTTGGATTAAAGGATCTAAATGATCCCTACTCATTCCACTAAACATATAATCCAAATCTAGTTCGAATTTCTCCATCTTGCTAGAGGAGTAGAAAAATAGGGTTTTACAGACAAACCTGAAGAATCTCTGACGAGAAAATCCAAGATGATGAGGATTGTGTCGGAAGGTAAGTTTTGGGGCACAAGTCCATAAATACTTCCATCTCTTAGACAAAACACCGGTCTTGACGGCGTCTTCAGCCAGTAAAAATGAGAGGATATGGTGGATGATGGAGTCAGGCAAGTTGCTGATGCGATCTACCTCCGGAGTTTTCTGTCTTTTGGGAGAGCTCTGAACACCTTCCGGCCAGTGTCGTTCATCACTATAGTCAGACCTGGCTGAATAATGATTCCTTTCGTTTTCCCTTTGCTCATCCGATGAATGGAAACGACTAAGGACTTCATCACCATCGCTGGATCCGGTTCCGGCGAGTGAATGATCAAAAAACCCGTTATAGCTTTTGTGTTCCTCATCCGATAAAAGAACAGGACGACAGCCGACGTAATCGGAATCTTGATCTTCTTCCATAGAACGCAAATGGGTCTGCCGCGCACAAACAGAATTCTCTTTCCGTCAACCAGAAGCCAAGCAGAAAACAGGGGAGAACAGAGTCGGAAATGTTACTGAAAAGAGACGCACCAAAAAGAATAAACAAGTAAAGGTTGGGCTAGTGCCATTGGGTGTGAATAAGCCCAATTTAGGATACTCGCGAAGCCCAATTTGGGAAACTCACGGTCCAACCCAATACTACAAACCGGACAACACCGAATTTGATTCATTTCATAAAAATTGAATGTATCTGTGTAATGTAGTGCAGTTTTAATTGAAAAATATTAGATTCATATCTTGAATAAAATTAAACTCGTTTAAGGTATAGAAAAATTCATCTATATCTTGCACTTTGCAATTTATTTTTGTTCTTGGATGTATACATCTAGATTATACTTGTTAAATCTATTCTGGGAGGCTATGGACAATTTCTCCAATTAATTAAACCTCTCCTCATTTATTTGTAGTTCCCAAGAGCACGTTTTGTATATAGGATTGGATTGGATATAATATAATTTTAAGGATAAGATTAGATTGGATTAGATAGGATTGCTAATGTTAAAATCTAATGATATGTTTAGTTGATTATTGGGTACAAACAAGATTGGATAAAAAATTTTTTTGCCATATTGACAAAAATACCCTTAATATTACAATTTAATTTCTTTTATATAAAATTCAATTTCTTATTAAAAACAGGGAAACTGTACTTCTTTGTTTGTCCTAGATTAGCGTACTAATAAATTGTTTCAAACTTTGCTTGCTTTTTTTTCTTCGTTTCCAGCATTTTCCTTTTCATTTTCCCAAGCCCCAAACACCTCCATCTGCACAGGATGTTGATCACTGCACTTGTCTCTCCATTTTCCTCCATTTTCTTTTCCTCTCTAGTAGTTTCCCTTTTCTAAGAAAACTAGATTTCCTTTCCCAGCCTCAAATAGTATATATTAACACCAATTTTTGTTTGAGAAGCAAAAGGACTAGTCTCAGCAGTGGAAAAAGAGAGTAAATATTGGAGACATACCAAAATGTACAAGGATAGGGCACAATAGGCAACAATAGATAAAGAAATCGAGATTGGATGTGCGTCAAGAGATGAGAGGATATAGTTGGGCCTTTTGATTTTAGGAGGAAAGGAAATGTAATGGGATGGTCTGAGACTAAAGAAATGGGACAAGCTCTGAGGTTAATGAAAATGGGAGAGATATATTGGTGATGGAAGATGATGAAAGGGATAATAGGAGACTTAGGAGAATCGAGATCGATGTTGGTAGGATGAGCAAAGCAATGTTGGAATCGGTGGGATGAACAAAGCAATGGCATAATTGGTGTCCATGACGTGTCGAGTTAAGAGTAGAGAAATTATAGGGTAGCGAAAGGAGGGGTACAAAAGTAAAATCAAATCTTATCCCACCTAATACCTAATCCCATGGGGGAGGTGGGATAACTTTTGTCAAAGGAGGTCAAGATTGCAGAAAAGGTGGGATATAATGTATCTTATCCTTTTTTTCTACCAAACATGGGATAAATTAGGATCGAAAATAAATTTTGTCCTATCCCATGTTGTATCTAGTACTCCAAACATGCAGTAAAGGATCATGGATATGGTTTATCGTTTTTAATTTTAACATAAGCAAAGCATCCAGTTGATTAGGAGTACCCCCGTACTCCATAAAAGTTTTAAAAAATATTTATATATTGCCGACCCAAAATAAAAAAAAAAAACAAAGGCAAAGCATGCAGCTAGGACTTGAGACTACTTTGAAGTATAAACCATGTGCCCTGTAAAAACTCGGCTCGAATCCTGAACTCGATTTAAGCTAGAGACATGATAATTAAAGGAAGATAGAATTTGGTCTAATATCACTTACAACATTTTTGCATTCCACTACATAATTACTAGATTTAGTTGAAAGGAAAGGAAACATACAAACTAACGGATAAGAACTACCGCTTGAGGTGAGCATTTTGGAAACCTTGGCAATTTTTGAGTCACTTAAAAAAGTACGGCCTTTTCAGGGGAACGATACTTTGAAACCTTACATCCAAAGTCTATAATCATCTCCTCCACCACCCTCGCATTCTCGAGTAGAAACCCTACTAATGCAAGATCATTCGGTTCATATCATCAAAGGGTCTAAGGCCAATCTCAATGGTCTTTAGATGCTCAAACAAGCCATGGAAAGTTTCGTCCACTGTTTCTTGATAGTTGAGTGGAAGAAAACTGTTAGGCCATTCCTGCAGATGAGGATTATAAACTTAGGAGAATGCAATAGCCTTTCAATTACACATATAACTATTTATTTATTTGTGGTTGATCTATGGTTTGATCCTGCATTATGCTGTCATTTGAGCTGCTTGGATGCTAAAAAGCTAAGCCATTGAAGTTCAAAAAATTTCGTTAAAGGTTCCCCCAGCTATTATTTTAAAAGCACTCCTTTGTTTTAGTGGTTAATTTTATTGGCATACCATCCAGCTAACTAATTCGGATGCTATTGCTGAGCAGGCTTCTAAATGTTATAAAGAACAGTAAGCAATTTAAAGTCCAAACTGAAAAAAGAATCAAATGAAAACATTCGTACTTGAAGATCATTTTCAAGGACTTTATTGTACGGTTCCAGGCCAACAATCTATGATTGGATATAGAAACTGCAAACAATTATTAATAATATATATATCCAGAAACGTTTAAATAAAACTAACTATTTTTGGTAAGAACCACTGCACGAGTTGAGCATCTTGGGAAGCTTAGCAATTTCTGAGTCATGTGATATAAATAATCTGAATCCCTTAGAGTACTTTTAAAGGTTAGAACCATCTTCTTCAGTACCCTTGCATTTCCGAGCAGAAACCGTACAAATGCAAGAAGATCATTTTCAAGGACTTCGTTGTACAGGTCAAGGCCAACAATCTCAACGGTCTTTAGATGCCTGAGCAGGCAACTGGAAATCCAGTCTTCTGATTTCCAATAATTCTCTCCAAAATAGTCACGAAATTCTGGATAGTCGGAGGAATCCACATCCTGCAGATGAAAATTAATTACTTAGACGGAAGCAGTCTCTTTCTGTTGCATATATAAGCAATCTATTAACTTTCCAAAGAACAATTGAAAATGGCTGTGCAAAAAGTCATACCTCTCCGTTGCGATTATTTGTCAAGTCAATGACTAGGTTCTGTAGAGTTGGTAAAGAATGAAGCAAGCTTGCCACCCCAAAGGTATCCCAGCAGTTAAAATCTGTATCTAGAATTAAACGTTTACAACTGCTTAAGGACATAGGAGAAGGCAATCCTCTGAACTCTAATACCGATAGAACCTTAATTAGAAGTTAAATAAACAAAACAATCATCAGTACTGTGATTCCAAAACCAAAACCAAAGAACTTAAACAGGTGAAAGTGAAATTATCCAATTCCATAGGAACTTACTTGGATACACCAAGTGCCAAGAGTAATTTGCTTGGCATGCCTAATGTTCTCGAGCAGCTGCTTCATCATGTCAAAGTACTCCTCCGAGGCAATGTCAACTTCAAAATTAAGGCAGACATGGATTAACGATGATACATTCAACAACCTACATTTCTTGCTCCCCCAAGATCCTGAAATTTCGATTGATTTCAGACTAGGACATGAAATTTCAATCATACCATCGTCTCCATCTTCGGGATTGGCCATTTCTTTTAACACCAATCTCTCCAATCTACTCCACGGACCACTATGAATACTGACTAAAGGCTAGCAGTTGTGAACTTTCAAGAATTCAAGCATAAGACTGTAACTGAGATCAATACTAGTTGTGCCCTTGCACCCATGCAATTCCAAGAATTCAAGCATGGGACTCCTTAACAAAATCCTTTGAAGCACATCATTAGACAATTCAGTGTGTTCTATAGTTAAATCCCTAAGCGATCTCCAAGATACCTGTCCTTGGGGTGCATAATCACAGAAATCTTGTACTCAATTTTTCCAGTGAAGAATTGTTGAAGACGAATTGCGGCATGGGATACCGTTGTTCAGCATCACATATGATCAGACTGCTATTCCTTTCGCCAAATTTCAAAGAAATCTACCTTGCATCATGCCTGGCAACCCAACGAAGCCACTTGTGGATTAAAGCGGCCGAAGAACTCTTGTATATAAAATCGAGCACGAATTTCTCGATCTTGCTAGAGGAGTAGAAAAATAGGGTTTTATCCACAAACTCCAAAAACCCATAATGAGTTGAAGTATAATAGGGACAACGGAAGGTAAGATTGGGAATAGAGGTCCATAAATACATCCATCTCTTAGACAAAACACCGGTCTTAACGGTTTCTTTGGCCAGTAAAAATGAGAGGATATGGTGGATGAGGGAGTCCGGTAAGGAGCTGATTCGATCTTCTTTGTGAGTTTTGCGTCTTGGGGAATGGTATCGATTTCGATGAGGAATTTCGTAAGGCCTAGGTGAATGATAAAGATTGTTGTTGCTTTGATTTTCCCTTTCTTCATTCGCTGGACTATAGGGACTAAAGTTACTGGGCGAATTTACGAAGAAATCTTTGTTGTCGTCTTCATCCGCTGGACTAGAGGGACTAAAGTTACCGGACGAATTTACGAAGAAATCATCGTTGTCGTCTTCCATGGGACGTAGAGTTGCGGAGAGAGAATTAGGGTAACTCTATGGGCACAGAAGAGTCCTAATAAAAGAGACGCACGCTTAATTCATGGATGCACGTTACTTAATCCTCAAGTTATACACACACCAAATGCAGTCTGATAATTATTTTACTTTGAGTTTAAATTTAGAAAATTAAAAATTGATACTAGCTCTATCCTACTATATCTGTTTTTCTTTTTTTTCTTTTTTACTATTAGTCAATATCCGGAAGTTACATTAGGTAACAATTAATCTAACCACATTACACCCGTAATGGAAAACTTTTCTAATACTGTTTTTTCATTGATAAGATTCGAGTAGGTGATTTTGGATTAGCTCCTCGGATTTCGGGTTGTTTTACTCTCTTTCAAACAGTAAACTTTTCAATCATTTTTGCTGAATTCAAATTTTATTTTAAAAAAAATTGAACTCTTTTTACTTACTCCGCATCACATTAGGTAACAAGGATTTCGTCACCATCGTTGGATCCATCGAGTGAACGACTAAAACTGCTATAGCCTTGGTCTTCCTCATCAGATGAAAGAACCGGAGTATGGGCGAGATGATCGGAATCTTGGCCTTCGTCCATAAAGTGTATATGGGTCTGCCGTACCCAAAAAAAAAAAAAAAAAACTGTCTTTGCTTTCCCAATACTAGAAACCAAGCGGAGAAGAGGGAAACACATAGGCGGACGGACAAAAATGAAAGGAAAAATCATTCTGCAGTCTACGATATTAAATTGCATAACATACACCATTCCACAATGCAAGGTAGTTAGATACTTAGATGTTAGACCTTCTCCCATCTTATGGTTTTGTTTACAATTTAATGTGGTACGATTTTAGTTTATAATTTAATGCAATTTAAACTCTATAAAATTTTATAATTAAAGCTTAAAAAAGGTGATACAATTCCATAAAAAAAAAAAAAGTGATACAATTAATCATATAATTTAATAATATTATTATTTATAATTTTAATAATAAGAAATCAACATTTAATCTCTATATTTAAAAAAAAAATGCACCCATAAAATGAAATAAGTAAGGACCTAAAGGTCCATTACACCAAATTGGGATAGGGCCATTGGGTAATTAGGATGTGAAAAAGCCCAATTTAGAGGGAGTAGTTTTTACTTTGAACATAAAGCACAGCATGCGGTTGAGACTTGGGAGTACCTTAAGTATAAACCATAGCGTGCGGCCTGTGAAAATTTGGTTAAAATCCCGAATTCAATTTAAGCTAGAGACATAATAATTACAGGCTGGTTGAGTTTTGTTATGATCTAATACCACTCATAACATTTTACCATTCCACTACATAATCACTAAATTCAGTTGAAAAGAAAAAAAAAAAAGAACTAATCAATAAGAACTACCGCATGGGGTGAGCATCTTGGCAAGCTTAGCAATTTTTGAGTCAGATCAAAAAGTTTAGCCTTTTCACCTAAATCAAACTCTGAAACTTTGCATCCAAAGTGTATGACCATCTCTTTTAGCACCCTTGCATTCCCAAGCAGAAAACTTACAAATCCAAGATCATCTGGTTCATGCTCATAGGGT